AAAGGAGAGGGGCCCTCACTCCTGAGTCTGGTTGAAGCTTCTCACCACTGAGAATCAAGAATTCCAATACAATTAACATTTGCTCCCAGCCTGAACCTACAATCTCATCAGAAACCCCCTTTACAGTAAAGGATGTGCCCTACACCCCATGCGCAACCACAGCGTCTCCTGGTTTTGTTTTATCAGACTGTAGCCCATCCAAGGCACCTCTGGAGCCCCCTTATAATCTCACTCATTCAAATAAGGGAAAACTTTCTTAGCAATCCTTTGAGATGTAAGTTGAAGGCCATCAAAACCACATCTATAGATAACGCTGACACTTAATTGAGACTCCTTCCTCTCTAAGAAGCCCATACCTGTGCTCTTGGGTTTGCCTTATTTCTTTCTGAGTGCCTTACTACTGTTAATAAATACAACTATGTTTCACACTGGTTGGTCTTGAAATTCTTTTCTGTGTCAAAGTCAAGGGTCCTGCTTTACCTGAGTCTAGGTTCGTAAAAGACTAAGAAAATTCCTCAGCTTGCTGTGAGCAACGGTGTAGAGCTTTGCTTCTGTGGCTGCTGCTGACGGGACTAAAACACTAACACAGAAGACTTTTCAGTAAAAAATGAGGTATGCTTAAAAAGAAAACTATCAATCTGGGTGTGGTGGCCATACCTTTAGTCCCAGCACTAGGGAGGCAGAGGCAGGAGGATCTCTGTGAGATGGAGGCCAGCCTGGTCTACATAGTGAATTCCAGGCCAGCTGGGGCTACTGGGAAACCCTGTCTCAAAACAACAACAACAACAACAAAAAACTATCAATCAGGGAAAATCCTCAGGGTGGATTGGGGGTGGCTGGTAAGATCCATTCGGTGGCAGTGAGGCCAGCAAGAGCCCTCCAAGGGACAAGTAGATAGTCATGTGACTACATTGTCATTCAGGAAAGGGCAGCATGGGAGGAGGGTAGCCAGAGAGGCACAGACCACAGTAAGAGTGAAAAGAGCTGCTTTTAGGAACTGAGCAGGAAAAGGCAGTATAAGCAGGCTCTGCGGTCTGGGATGGATGGCAGAAGGCCAATCAGCATGCCCTGTTAAAGGCAAGACGGCAAAAACTGCACAGCATCTGCTGCAGGTGCCACCACAGCAGTGTGAAAGCAGGTGTGGCAACCTGCAAAGGAACGTGATATATGACATGACATGAATGTCCAATAAAACTTTATGTGGAATTCACATCATGTCACGTATCACTAATGATTCTGTCCAACTATTAAAAATATCAAACCCATCCTTGTAGGTCATACACAGGCTGTGGTGGGGTTCTGGCTACCAGAGTTGGCCAACCTAACACAGCTGGAACCGGGCTCTTTCCCTGAGGAAGACCAGCATGATAACAGCTGGTAATCAAGGCTTGAAGAGCAAGATGTGTTTGTATGTGTGTAGGGTGTCTGAACAGCTGGGTGCTGTACTATCCCAGCCAGTAAGGCCAACAGGTATGGAAAGGGGATAGCGAGCCAGGGAAATGGGAGGGATAATAATAAAATTATTGATCTGTGGTCTAGACATGATATATATATATAACATGTATAACTGTGAATCAGGCAGGTTATAAACATGTGGGGAAAAAAGCCAGGATGATCACTGTGGGCCAATGGGGTTTACCAAGAGCATGTCACATTAGCACCAGGTCTGTACGTCCCTTCTTAAAAAAGCAGCAAAGGTCTTATAGAAAAGGAATAGCTAGAGAGACGGCTCCACGGGTAAAGGAATTTGCTGCCAAACTTAGTGACCTAAGTTCAATCCTTGGAACTCATATGGTGGAAGGAAAGAACCAGCTCACCAAAGTTGTCTTCTGACATCCATACACCTTACTCCCCCAACACAAATAAATACATTACTTAAAGTAAGAAAAATTCTAAAGGAAAAGACAGTTAAGTCAAGGAAGACATGAGGATTTGGAAAGTCCAGAGGAAACCACCTTAAACACATTGTAGGTCTTTCCAGAAATTACATTTTTGAATGAGATCTCATTGAACATTCTTTTGTCAGTTCTATTTTCCTCACTTAACATTCCTTAGTATCTTTCTATGATTTTTTTTTGATAGCTGAGAGTTAGGGCCACTGGATGGACATTTTGTAATATAACCATTTCCCTTGTTCTGAATTTCTACAATGTCCACCTTCAACCCATCTGCAGGGATATTTTTAAAAAGCAACTGTGTTCAATCTCCTTGATGATTTGCTTACCTGTATTTTTTTAGAAGAGATTTCCAGGAGGGGAAGAATGAGGATCAAAAGTTGGCTTGACACCTTTGTTTTTTAAGTTCAAGATGGCAGAGCAAGGAATCTGTGTCAGGATTTTAGCACCGAGCCAGTGAGAGTTCCTCACCCACTTCCACAACCGAAAGTCAAGTATCTGCTGAACTGTGTAGATCAGTTAGCAAATCTGGCTGATGAGTAAGGGGCACCCCAAATTTCTGGAAGGCACAGGAGCCTATGAAGGCACAGAGTCTAGCTTATGAGGGAGGAGCTCGTGGAACGGGCTGGTTGGAGGGGGTGGCCCTAGACACTGGAGGCACTCAGGCAGATCATGGTGACCACCTGCTCCAGGGTTCTCAGAGGGTGCTCCTGGGCAGAGCAGATGCTGGCTCACTACTTCCCTTCCTACTTGGCCACTTTCCATGTGGCCTGAGCAGCTCTGAGCTAAGACTCTGTAGGCATAAGCAAGAGGGATCCGTGACATGCCACTGAGCAAACACTGGAAAGTGAACGTCCCTACACACACATTGAGCAAACACTGGAAAGTGAATGTCCCTACACACACATTGAGCAAACACTGGAAAGTGAACGTCCCTACACACACATTAAAGAGGTTGCTTTTCACATTTCTAATTACATTGCTTTGAAGTCTCCTTATCTCAGGAAGGGGCCACAAACTAAAGGAGAGGTAATCAATATCTTAGGGAACTACACAGAGCATGCCAGAAGTTTGCACAGTGCCTGAAATGTGCAGTGACCTGTGCTGGGGCCAGCTCAGAAGGAGAAAGGTTTGATGATGCATCTCATGATTAGCATAACTCTAGATGTGGGGGCATCAGCACTGGGCTGGGGCTGCTTAGGGCACACTTCATGTTAACTGCTTTTGGAGTAAACCACTGAAACCCCCTCCCCTCTACTTTACAACACCAAACTGAAATGTGTGCTGCTTGGCACCAGATAGTGGGGGTGACAGTATAGTCTCTGTGTCCTTAAGCAGAAGGAGACACAGGCAGGCAGTCAGTATGGGAGAGTGGAAGTGGGTGGGCCAGCTTCCGAGTTGCCCCCAGTTGCTGTGCTGAGCTTGCAGGCCTCACAGAGCCCCCAGGGCCTGCAGGGTATTTCTGGCAGCATTACACCAAGCAGCCCCACTCCTGGCAGAGCGATTTGATGCCTGCAGCTGCTTGAGGAGGTCTGAGTTGTCTGCAGCCTCGGCTGGAGCCTCAGCTCTCTCTCTGGAAGATAAAATCCCCAGCTGTCACTTACATCAGTGGGACAGGAAGATGCCTGAGCAGCTTCCCCTGTATCCTGAGGCTATTGCCATAGCTAAGCCAGCAGCTGAAATGAACCCAGACAACACCTCATCAAAGCCACAGCGAGGAAGCAGCGGTCCACAGGCAGACAGCAACATTCCTCCCAGACCAGAGCGTGTGCCCCCGTGGGCCATTTGCTGAGGATATGCCAACAGCTGGGAAAGTCATCAGAGGATGCAGGGATGGTGGGTGTGGCCCCAGGCCAAGGCTGCAAGATTTGCAAGCTGCAGCAGGAAAGAGGTGTGTGATGGTGTTGTCCCTGCACGTGTCTGAGAGGGGAGGACTTGAGTTTCACAGTCCTGTTATGCGCCACTCTGCCACCAACCATCTGGGGAGATATTCAGCTTTTCTACAAAATAGGTCATCTTTCCACACTTGTTATGTTCCCTGTCGACTCTCCTTGAATAGCCACAGTGCAGAAGTAGCCTTCCCCAGAGATGCTTTCTTAGACAAACTCGAACCCTCCCACCCTGGCTCCTGGAGCGCAGCCAGGGCTGGGACTCATGGATCCCCTGCTCCCAGCAGGAGTGTTGCCTAGAAAAAGAACAACTGCCTTTTGCTTCTACTTCCAAACCTATTAGGGAGCGATCATAATGAGAGAAACTAATACTGACAAGAATTATGCCATTGTTCGAGTTCATCTATTTAGTAACCTGAAGTTGCAATTTTTAGAAAAAAAGAGAAAAGATTACCTTTTAAATAACTGATTCATTATGGGACATGAATGAATGCCATGTTCCTGTGTTCAAAATGTCACTCACCATTAAGGGTGTGAGCTGGTAAGTGGCACCAATTTACCACATCCCCCTGGCAGACAAACACCCCTGCCCTGGGGCCCTGGGCCCTGGGAGGCATTTGTGGGATTCCAGGGCTCTTACCGAGTCACCTGTGTGGCCTCACACCTAATGAGTCTCCATTCTGCAGTGAGGCTACCCATTCCCACTCCCCGTTAAAGGGGAGGGGGAAACTAGGGCTGGTGAAGTTCCTGCTGAGGTAACACTATCCATTTCCAGGCAGAGTTCAGAAACCACAGACGCAGATTCTGGTTGTGTGATGGGGAGCAGGCCGAGTCCCCTCTGGCCACAAGTTGGTTGTGAGAAATGAGAGGTGAGGACAGGTGGGGACACAGCGGTCAGGCCTGCGGCTCAGCTCAGTGCTGCTCTGCACCGCCAGAGAGGCCTGCCTGGGCTGGCAGGTGAATGATGCGGTGAGTATTCCCCCAGCCTCCCTTTAGCCTAGAAACCCATAGGGTTTCCATCATTCATTTCAAAATGCACTATTTGGCCTTTCTGAAAGTTCCACACAAAGGGAAGGGAAGGCCAGGCCCTACAGGGATGGGACAGGCCTCTGGTGAGTTGAAATAAGAAGTGAGAGATGAAGTCAGGAAAGGCAGCATGGAGGAGGTAGCTCTAGGCCACAGGTCCGCACCTGGCCCACTGCTGTGGTACACATACCTGATATGGCATACAGATTGGAGTGCTGATACTCATAGTCTGTCCGGGTGCTGTTCCTGCCTCGGAAGGTGGCTGGTAGTGTTAGCGAGATGTGCCTGTGAGAGACAGAGGAGAAAAGGGAGGTTACAAGGAGTGAGGAGCAGCCCCTAAACTCAGAAAGTGCCCAACGCCATCCACAGCCGAACAGCAGCATGAAGTGGACAGGGCAGGTGCTCCTGCAGGTGTCTACCTTTTCCCCTGCTTCAGCCCTCTACAGGAACCAGCAGCCACTTTCTTCCATACTGTAGGGAAGGGTGGTTTCTCAAGCTTTAGGGCATACCCAGAGAGTACCATGCAGATCGGCAGTCTGGCCCAGGCCTCTGTGTGGAACCCAATGCATCAGTGGGACCCAGGCTGGGAACAGTGGCTTCCATGCCCACCACAGGATTTTGTTATCAGGTAAACCCAGGAGACCAGCGGTCTGTTAGTAAGCATGACACCCTGCTCTGAGCTGCTGTGTTCTATGTCCTGGGTCCCTCAGGCACAGTGTGCAGTAGGTACTCAGGAAAACACCTTTTATGGGTTCACAAGACTCGCTGTGAGCAGAGTGGAAGTGAGTCTAAGTCAACAGCAAATGCCCCACTGGACGTGTTCACAGCTGCCTTCAGCTCACACTGTCAAGGAAGACTATGGGAGGAGGGAAAGTGCTAAGGACCAGCAGGCCTGGAGAAAACATACCACTAAGTACACGCTGGATGGATGACAGGTTGACTTGGGATTGGTCAGTTGCCTATGCTTAGGTGACACCCAGCTGTTACCCCAAACAAAGATGCTGGAGGGGGCAATCACCACACAGCTGTCAGTGACAGAGCACTGTCCTCTGCACAGAACAACTCTGTGACCTTCCAGGATGGATCCCAGGAGGAAAAGCTCACAAGCACAGCTCTCCCCCAGGACCAGGATCAAGCTGTAATCGCAAGAGTCTTGTAGGGACAAGGTGTGCACTGAAGATTGCACTGGTAAGGGACAGGTGTGCCACAGGACCACAGGCCAACCCAGGCTACTGGGGGTGTAACTGATGCATTCACATGGAAATGTGTGTTCCCTGGCACTGTGGTGTGTGGAGGAAGGTGACGCATGTGCATGAAGGTATGTATCCCAGAAGCTCCCCAGCTGTAGGGACTAAGGTTTGGGGACACGATGCATACTCTGTAGCATAGATGGGTGCTAGTGAGCATGGGAGGAGGAGGAGGGCATGCACCACGAGACAGGAGAGGCTTGCTGACACCTCAAGGAGTAGAAGGTGGAATGACTCAGTTGGAAGTTGGCTTTGGTTGGGGTTGACATACACCTAGGAAGCCAAGCTAGACGGTGAGTCAGGGACAGTCTGGAATGCCACCAAATGCCATGGCAATGTGGCACGGGTTTTGTACCCAGGAATAGGGAGCATCCTGAACTCTACTGCACTGTCTCTGTCTAATGCAGATGAAGGTACTGGATTCCCAGAAAATAGCTGACAACTGTGGTGTGGTGGCCCCACCGGGGCTAGAAGCTGGGTTAGCACGGCTCAGAGGGAAGCCACCTTCACAGAACTTAGGCTGAGGAGACACCCTGGATTGCAGCAAAGAGGAAGAATTGGGGCAGCCCGCCAATGGGGTCAAACACAATGAACACAAATCTGAGAGGACTCAGAGGTGGACTCCCCATGATGCAGGCTGAGGGGGGAAGCTGAGAACCTGCAGGAGATGAGGTGTGGAGAGGAGGCTGTCAGCTAGGGGCTCTGTGGGGTCTCTGAGGTAGCAGTATATCTAGCCCATGGGAAGACGCAGTCAATGCAGACCATGGGGCCAGGGAACTCAGGGTGTGGCATAAGCTTAGACTTCATCCTGAAGAATTTTTTTTTTGAGACAGGTCTTGCTCTGTAGCTCTGGCTGGCCTTGAACTTGTGGATGACCCTCCTATTGCTATCTTCCAAGTGCACTATCATGCTTGGTTCTGACAGACAAGTTTAAAAACTCGCTTATCTGTGAGATGCCACAGATGGATGAAATGGTAACAAACTGTGATGAAGATTATCAATGGTTATTGCCTGCTGTATGTGGACCCTTTGTTCCTGTGAAAGTGGCTGTTGGTAGACACCATAGGGAAAATTCTGTAACACACAAAACTTAGAATGAGGAGTGTTATGTCCTAGAGAAAGCCAGAAGCCAGGCTCTGAAGCTGCCCAGCCAGTCAGAAGCTTCTCACCTTTCCATATATGGCACTTAGCCTGGATGATTACAGCCTGCAACAATCCTGCCTTGGCCTAGGTTGTGGTTTGAACATGAAGTATCTCCCACAGGCTCATGTGTTTTGTTTTTAAAGATTTATTTATTTTTATGCGTATGAGAATTTGCCTGCATGCTATGTATGGTGTATCATATGTGTGCCTGGTGCCAAAGAGGCCAGAGAGGGCATCAGATTCCCTGGAACTGGAGTTACGGCCTGTTGTTAGCCACCATGTGGGTGCCGGGAATTGAACTCAGGTCTTCTGCAAGAACAGCCAGCCCTCTTAACTGCTGAGCATCTCTCCAGCCCAGGCTCATGTGTTTGAACACTTGGTTTCTGGCTGGTGGTACTGTTTTTGGAAGGTTATAGAACCTTTAGAAGGAACCTCCCTGGAGGGTGTAGATCTCTAGGGGTGGGTCTTCCATGTCCATTCTGTTTCCTGTTCCGCCACAATGTGGGGAGGTGAGGAATCCCTGATGCCCACTCCTGCCACCTTGGAACTGCCTGCCAGCCATGCCTGCCTCTCCATGATGGACCATGTCCCCTTCAGTCACAAGCCAGAGTAAGCCCTTCCTCCCATAAATTGTTTCTTGTTAGGCATTTGGTCCCAGCAACAATAAAAGCTGCAAACACAGTCTGTTCCCCCTTTTCCAGCCCATTGTTTCTCCTTTCCTTGGAGAGGTTTTCATCTGGAACCTCCCCCTGCAGCCTAACCCATACCCACACCCATGCTTTCAGCCAGCCACTGCCCTCACAGCAGCCTGCCGCTGCCCCACAGCAACCTGCCACTGCCCCCACAGCAGCCTGACGCTTCCCACTTGGCCACTACTCCATGCCTTGCTTTTTCCTCCTCCGAGGAGAGAGAAAGTCTTGGAAATCTCTGATCGTGTCTTGCCTTTTTCATGTCTCAGCCTGATTCTTTATCCAGTATAGCTCCCTGTTCCTGGACTCTCCACACTTCCTCGCTTGCTTTTTTAATGTGTACAAGTATTTTGCCTTCATGTATGTAAGTATACCACATGAATACAATGCTCGCAGAGGCCAGATGAGGCATTGGATCCCCTGGTATTGGGGTTATAGACAGCCAGCATCTCACGTCTCTATGTGGTGTTTTCCAACTGGACTCATGTGTCTCACCCAAGACTACCATGGAGGGAACCAGAAGAGAGCCAGGGTGGCAGCAACCAGGAACTGCACGAGGAAGAAAGGACGGCATCTGTTCATGAACACAGGTGACTGAGGGGTTGCTGGAGTGTGGAACTAAGAGGGAGCATCAGAGTCACAGGCTGACTAGGTCTAGGAGGGAGGGACTGCTCAGCAGACAGCTCAGCAGACACGTGCTAAATTGAATCAGGTTTCTAAGCACTCCAGCAGGAGGTGTTCAGGAGGGGTTCAGAGAGTGGGATGCTGACCCAAGGCATCTGCAGAGAAAGGGGAAGGGCTCCGCCCTCTTTGCAAAGAGCTTTTTATTTTTCCTTCATGTTTCGCTCCCATTCTTAGATGATAGAAGCAGACAGGTGGGACTGAGGGGACAGACCCCCCCACTGCTCAGGTGACAGGAGGAAGCAGAGTCTGGAGCAAGCGTTGACTCTAGTTCCCAGTCAGGCATGGGGTGACCTGCCCTTCAACCACAGCCTGATCCTTTCCACAGCTGAATTATTCTTGATTTGCAGAAAAGGAAACTGAGAGAGACCCTTGGCAGCAAAGCCAATAGGAACTCTGGGGACAAGAGACTGGAGGGAGTGGCAACCATTACTACTTAAGACTACTCTGCTGGACTACCTTGACCATCAGGATACAGAGAGGTCATCAGAAGTCCTACAGTGTCCAGGCCATCTTTCTGAAAACTGTGATGCCAAGGATTTGGTCCCTGCCACACACTGACATGGTGACCCCCAAAAGTGATGTGTACTATACACAGATGGATGGCCATGGGCCCAGCATACTCAGAGTGGCACAGCACTGTCCGTGGTCAAGGGCACTGCCCCCAGAGTCTATTGGGTGCCAGTTCCAGTCTCAGTACCAGCACCTGGGGGCTGGGTGGCCTCTAGCAAGGATGTGTCATCTTCCATACACACAGGCCCTGATTGGGCAGAGCAGGTGGCACAGAACCAGGCATGTGGTAGGTATGAATGAGCACTTTTAACTTGGTATGATTCTTAATCTTGTCAACTTGATGGGATTTAGAATCTCCATAGAAACAAGCCTCTAGCCATGTCAGTAAGGAAGTTTCTAGATTAGGTTACTTGCGATGGGAAGATCTATCCTAAATGTGGGTGCACCATTCCATGGGGTAACCAACTGAATAAAAGCGAGGAAGCAGCATTTCTTGCCCTCTGCTCCCTGAGTGCAGATGCACTAGAACCAGCTGCCTCCAGCTGCCTCAGGCTCCTGCCCCATGCCTTCTGTACCATGATGGACTGGACCATCAAACTGGGAGTCCCAAGAAACCCTTCCTGCTGCAGGCTGCTTTTGTCAGGCATTTGTCATGGCAACGAGGAAAGTCATGAGTACACTGGGAATCCTAGTTCGATCCTTCCCATCCCCCACCCCTAGAAGCACTCTGGACTCCTGGACTTGGAGGGCCTGAGCACAAAGCCAATGCAAAGCCTACCAGGGCCTTCACTCTGTATTAGAAGCAAATGGAAACTTTCCTTGGGACACGAGGTCCTACAGGTTTGGCCCAGCCATTTCCACATTCCATCCGCCGGTCTCAGTTGCCGCTTGACCCCTTGATCCCTCCAGCTGCTGCCTCAGGGTCTTTGCACTTGCTATGGCCTGTCTGAAACTCTCTCCCACAGCGCTCCAGAGGTGGGCTCCTCCTCCTGGGCTGGGAGGCCCCCCAGAG